GATAATGAAGAACTTACTTACCACGCAGCAATGAGGTGTAAGTAATATAAAAGATTAGTAAAATTCAAAGACTCCGTGATATAACTGACGTATATTGTTTAAAATGACATCCTTTCGTCTCAAGGAGCTGAGTTCGAGGTTAGGCTCGTTAATAAATTGCAGTATCAAATAATTTTCAATGTCTCTTGCTTTCGTTTCAACCACTTTGTACATGTGATGTTGCAAGCAAATACCTAAGAATTGACGCAAATTTCTGCGATGAAACGATCCTGGATTATATTTTCAACACGAAAATAGTAGGATCAAGTTTGCATGTATCACAGCTGATGTACGCGAATTATATTTTTTGGCAAGATCAATTGCATTGTGACATCAGATTTTGAAGGAATGGATCAATGACTAGAATATTATTATGAAGAAATACATAAAATTACAATGTGAACTGAAGAGACCCTCCCTACCTTGTTCAACGAACCACTAGAACAATTGTACCAGAAATGTATTTCTCACAGTCCAGCATAAACATTAATATAAAACTTGCTTTACAGATCAGTCTATAAAAATAATATTAAACGTACTGTCACCGTCATCAAATATTTAACTAATCTATTAATTTAGATGTTTTTTACTACCTAAACGCTGCTCAGTTAAATGGAATTTTTTTGCAGCTCAGCTTTATTTCATTTTATTCCCGTTTCAAGACTAGAGATGGCGTTCAGAATCACTAATCGTGATTTTCACGGTGATCACAAAATCGCGATCAAGATCCATGCGATTATACTTGATCATGACCGTGATCATGATTTTTTATTATAACTGGACTTGCTATAATCGCGATATTCATATTTGTTAAAGTAGTTTGAAATAACTTTTGATTCTTAAAACATCCGATATGATTTAAACAATATTTCTACTTATTTTAAAAAATAAATATATTAATACTTCTTTATTTTATTATCAATTTAAGGGATTCGGTAGCACCCTGAAGGCTTGTTTAATGTTCGGCAGATGGCATGACCGACAAGTTACCGCGTTTCATCTATGGACCTGACGGATGGTGCATGAAATAGGTGCATGAGGAATGCGAGAGGATGGATTTTCGAAGACAGAAGCGGGAAGCAAGAGCCGGCATATTAGGGACCCCTGGATGAATAATCTTACCTAATGTGACTTAACTTATACCTCATGAGAGATAACGCGCACACCATCATCGTATACGTTATCGCTTTTGAGACACGGAGTTCGTCCGCAAATCCCGATACTCTGGCAGAATATGCCGTTTGATTCGTCTCAATCCGACTTATGGTTCCAGAGACATCGTCGTGTGAAGAGAGCCATAATTTTTTCGGCGTCGCTATTGTTGTCCTTCTCGCACGTAGTCCGACTAACGGACCTACCCCAATCTCCACCAACCGGTCTAGACGCCAGCGAAACTAGGTCACTATGTCAGTAATAGCGAACGCTGCACCTGAACTTTGGGAACCCATATCTCCGAAACGAAATGAGATATTGAGATGAATCAAAAGCAAGTTCTTTCGTCTAAGCTTTCTCTATCAATTGAGAGGTTGTCAATAAAAAATCAATTTCCTTGTATTGCTAAAGCGATCGGTAGCGGGAGCGTACTTGCTCCTCCTTCATTTATCTATCATCGCGCAGGACTATTCGGATGATCTAAGAAGGGATGATTCTGGATCTCAATTTCTCACCCTCAGGATTAGTCATTTGGTCAAGTTATGAAATAAAAATGTCAACATCATTTCCATTCATTCTTTAATTACAATTTATTTATTTTTACAATAACTTACATTGAAGTTAGATTTGAAACTCTTAAAAGGGATTTAAACGAGAAGGAAAGGTGCGGGGTTATTTTTCAAGGTTTAAACAACATATTTTTATCTAACAAATTGAAACATTAATACTTAATACCGACAAAATATATATCGGTTAGTATGTCTAGGTGGAGAATGCAATAGTACATTATATGTTGTACTTTTTACAATATTTCTTTTTTCTTCCTTAATATGCGCTAACGATTAAAGATATAAATAACAGTTCTTAATATGTACACGCATGTATCGGCGCCGGCTGCAAAGCATTCAATACGGAATATCAGAAATACTAGTAAGTGCAGAGATGTTTCGGTGTGTAATAATTAGTGAGGACTGTTGCATCGTGTTTTCAGTTCAGTGTAATTAGAAGTACAACTTGATAATGTTACTTCCTTAATGTTCAACTGTATACTTCTTGAGATTATTGCCGAGAGTACACGTTATTTCTGTGGACTTTAGTTTGAAATTTCTCAGAGTAGCATTCATTTAAAATTTAAATCATCTTTATTGCTCTCTTTTATTCAAATTTTCCAATGAATATATTTATTATAATCTGCATTCACTCTGTTCAATATATTATTGTACGTATTTCACAAATTAATACACTATTATACATACAATTAATAATTAATTAAACTATCAAATACCTTTGATGTCAAAATAGATACAGCGATGTTATGAATATTTCATCTTCAGTCTCTATTTTTTTTAGAGAATCAGGTACTTTTCGCGATGTTTAGGACATCCAATTTTGCTGTTGAAATTTTTCGACACGGTCTCGTCAGAAAATTGCGGACTATTTGTGTGATGTACGAACATCCGCGGCCGGCCGGTCGTTCTCTCTGCGTCGTGTTACATACCAGAGCAACGCTTCATTCATCATTCTGGGCAGAGTACAGTTTGCGGATTCTGTATTCGTTTCCGCGCGGCGAGAGCGACGGCACTTCATTCTTACGGATTATGGACCATTCACACTTTTCTTTAATAAAACGAGGTCTAGCAGCTATTCGAGGATGCACAGCTCACCCATATTTCTCGTCTACGCTCGCACTCGTCTGGACTAGAAGTTGTCGGAGCCCTTCGAGATCCGTTTCACATGCTTCTTTAAATTTTTTAGTACGGCACTGAATCTTGAGTCGTTTTTCGAATGCAGAATTTCTCCGCCTGGTACGTAAAATATTTTCGCCGCTACGGTAAGTGTGAATGGACCATAACATCGGATATGCTGAGAGACAGGTCAAACTACGAGCCGAAGCATTTGAAGCGTGTCAGCTTCCTCGGGCCCTTATTTGTGTTTGCCTGAATTTTCATGGTCCCGATTTTTCTCGTTAGTCGAGATTCCTCGCTGCCTTCTTTTCCTGTCGGCTCGTCAACAGGGAACGAAAAATAAAATATTCATCCCTTTTCCGTGGGATTTACAAAGTAACAGAGCAACGTGCAATAAGCTTCCGTAACGCTACTTTCGTATGAAATTCGCGGACGTTACAACTAGGAACACAGCTGAGTTGACAATCAAGAATGTTTTCATAGAGTTCAGACGATCAAATGCCTGTCCCTTGTTTTCGCTGCATTCCACTTTTTGTATTATACATACATTCGCGGTGGTGCGAGATGGAGTATACCGCATCGCTTCAACGAAAGAATAAGCAAAGTTCTGAAGTTCGTAATGAATAATTAAAGTTGTGCTGCACGGGGAAAGTTGAGTGTATCCTACATTTTAGCAAGATATCTCTTTTCCTCTTAAGTCGCAAGGTTTCTCTGGTTAAGATTTGTGAAATCGTTTCATACGTACACCGAGGAGAGATTAATAATGAGTGGCAGCTGTTATAGTCATTTACCTCCGACCTCCTCGGTGCCGATTATCGCCTATTGTGTTTTGAGCTCCATTGAGCCCCAGTCGCTGTCCCAACGATTACACATGCACTGCCAGTCTTTAGTAGTATCTAGTATCTCCTCGGTGATATATACAAAAGTTTATTTTATGTTACTAAGGGATGTTTTCACTATTTACAGAATTACATTGGTTTTCCCATCATGTAACTCATTTAATTTTAATACTCGAATTACTTTGTATTGTAAGAAGAATCTTTATTGTTTTTCTTTATCGCTCTATAAAAGTAGTCTAGCCCTTGCCGTTTCGATGTAGGGAGGATACAAGTAGACAAATATTTTTACATTTTGCATTTTGTTAGATCTTATTTATGATGAATTATGAGAGGTATCGCGTTACTGTATCAGGAAGTGTTCTCCTCTTGAATGTCAACGTCAAAGCCGTGACATGATCGACTGCGAGAGGTAGCCAGAGTTGCGCTTGCGAAATTTAAAGGCATCGCCATCCGTTGTCCGGGATAATTAAATGTCTATTGGAAATTCGTCGGGGAGGTGGCGGCCTCGTCTATCCGTCGAGAATTGATTGAATGCTTCGACGAGCTCTCGTTCACCATCTTGAATCACAGGTGTCTGCCGCCGGCAGATCCATTCTGTCATCGCAACGAACTACTTTTCCACCATCGAGGTAGACTTATCGTCGCGCACTTAATTAATCAAATGGGTATCACTGCCTAGTATTCATGCGGAGTTCGAAACCCAGTTCCTGATGTTTTTATGGGCGAGGTCTCGCGGCACGCAAATCTGCTCTTGACTTGCATTTGTCATCCTAATTGGTATAGGCAGATATTTGCAAGCTGCCGTGAATACGAACTCGAGAATTTCGTCCGTAGACTTTTCGATTAATTCTCCGATTCAAATTTATAATATCCCATATTCCGTGCGAGGGATAAAAAAAATGATTTCGTGGGAGATAAATCAATACTTGTACAGAGTACAATTTTTTTTA